ATAGAAAGGATAGAAAGGATAGAAAGGATATCAATAGTAGAAATAATAGAATGTTTATAAAATATAGAAAGGATAGAAAGGATAGAAAGGATAGAAAGGAAAGAATTTGGATCGATAACATATATTTGATAGAAATGCTGTGATGGAAAATAAGAGGAGGGGGGTGCCTGGTGGAGGGGGAGGGGGGAAGATTCTTGTTGGAGAAAGAGGGGGGAGGGAGTTTCATCCTGAACTCTCTCTAGTTAGTATTTGATCCAACATCAATACAACACTTTCTTTTTCTTCATCTTCATTATGAGATTGACTATGACATCATGACTCTTGTGAATTTAAAAAATGAATTTTTAGAAAGAAATACCAATTAAAAAATATACATTTTCACTCTTCTTTCGTGTTTAAGAGGATCTGCCCACCCCCGATACTCGATCTTTCTCTCAGTCCAAACAACAGTTTTTAGATTAAGGTGAAATTGGAGCATTTTAGGCAGTAGGTCTAGTGTGGTAGATCAATTATGTAGATTAAAGATCTAATCTATATGCAGCGCTAAACTAGTTTAACTATAGCTAAACCCCCCAGGAACATATCTCAATAGATCTAGGTCAATCTAAATCTATCGCAAAATTCTCATGCTTAGAAAATAAAAATTCGTAATTTAAAGGGACTGTTAACGAAGTTAAAGCCTTCCTCCAATTGTAGTTAAACCCTTCATTTTTGCGGACTTTAAATTGTGTACGAACCTTTAATGATTATTTGGTTTGGGTTTGGAACAAATCAATAATCCATTTATACGTTTCTGATCTTTGTACATTTAGAGTAATCAAAAAACTGGTCTCCAAGGTTTCATCTTTTATATTTTTAGGATTTAACCCTATTCCTGCTGCATGGTGTGGGGGGGGGTCAATTTTCAGGATTTAAAAACGATGGATCAAAATTAAGATATTGATTGTTAGAACAAATCTATCATTATGTGTGTAATAACGAAAGTGTTGAAAGTGTTTCGAACAGGGGCGTATTCAGGAATTTGTCCAGGCAGGGGGTTTTAATTTTTTTCTCTTTCCAGGGGGAGGCTCAGCACCAGTTGGGGCCTGAAAACCCCCTGAAATCAATAGATTTCACTGTTCCAAGGGGGGGGGGGGGCTAAACCCCCATAGTCCCACCTCTGGTTTTGAATTGACGAAAATCGTGTTAGAAATGTTTAACAGAATTTAAATATGATAGGGATAACTACCTGTTCGAGCATTCGAAATGTTTTTGATAAGATTGATATTTATATTAGCGTGGCATTTATGTAATTTTATCTTTTTTATCAGATAAAACCGGCAGCACGGTTGTTGAAGAACCGGTTCCCTTGGATTCTTCTAGAAAGCGTAGAACGGCGGAGGCGGAGGAGAACACGGCGGAGAATGTTGTCGAGGCGGAAGATGAAGAAGCGTGCAGGGTTGAGATGTGGAGATGTCTGTCCGCTGTGATTGAGCATGGACTTCACTATATGGATAAACCTGAAGGATTAATGGGGTATGTAATAGATCTTTATTTATATCTATATATTTTAAGAGCTAGCTGAAGGGCCCGGCGTTGCCCGTGGCAAAAAAAAAATTGGAAAACAAATTGAAAAAAAAAATATTTTGAAACCAGTTCTCTCTGGGCAGAATTTGTAAGCAAGAATAGATGCATCAGTGTTCGTTTAGTATCCAAGGAGGATAAAAGCATTGAATTTTGATAATTTTGATAATTCACACAATATAGTTTCCTATAACCAGAATATTTCCTTGGTTTTTTATGTGAAAGATGGATCCCATCCGTCTTTTGTTTACATTACTGCCCAGTGACAGTACACTGCAGAATTCACGTTTCAGGGTTGACTTAATTAAAGCATTTAATCATTTTTTTAATATGCTTTTAATGGGTTTCTAATAAGGGAACATTATAGACCAGTCATTAACTATCCCTGGGGCAGGCTCATGTCCCACTTCTTTTGTATTTTAAAAACTTGTGCATCTTTTAATGAAAGTTTTTTTCAATAATATCTGGAATTAAAACGGACACGATTAGAAACGCGATAACCCTTTAAACATTTCTCAGCAGATCGATAAATGTTTTTCTTTAACATTTTAATTTTTAACCTGTAGTTTTCTGAAAAAGTAACTTGGGAATTTATACAACATTCAAAGTAACAAAAAAAAGATATCTAATTGTTTGCGGTTCTTTTAAGTGTATTTCTAATTTTCTAGCATAACAGGTCATTTCTGATGTGTTTTTTTTATACATCCTGTCAGGATATTCTCACCTGGGTTTAGTGTTTTTTTTATACATCCTGTCAGGATATTTATTATAAATTGTTTAACATTGATGTTTTATACAGAGGTGATATGTAATAAAAGTCTTGGGAAGTTTTTTTGTAAATCAAGAATTGAATGATTTCTTTTGTGGTCAGATTTTATGAATTGCAACTACTGCAACCTACTCTCCTCCATTCATTTAAACCAACCTCTGATTAACAACTTTATTCTATACGGAGGGTGACTTATCCCTACTTTGGACCAAGCAATTGAGCCTTTTTCACTAGCTCTCAATTTCTAATCTGTTTATCTTTGCAACCCATCGTTGTAGATACGTTATATCTAAGATTGAAATATCAAAGGATGTCACCATCAGGTTGCAAAGATATAGTGATTAATAATTTTGGGTTTGTAGCAAAGACTCAATTCATTTCCTAAAAACATCTTGGACCAAAAAATTTAACAAAACTCCCGAGTTTCTTTTTATGGTCTTTACATTTGCGTAGATTTAAATTTAAGAAATCAGAAAAAAGAGAAGACAAAGAAACCACAATTGCGTAGATTTAAAAGAAGGAAAAAGAGAAGAAACCAAAATTGGAATTATTATCAACAAAACTGCCTGCAGACTCCATTCATGAAACCGGGTTTCCGAAACTGGGCTTCATTCCGATTCCCTGTCTTAAGTTTTGGGCTCAGGATGTGTTTGTTGGTTATTGTTGATCTACTTAAATTCACGAAACCTCTTACATCATACTTTCTAAAAATGTTGCTCTTTATTCAAATAAGCATAACTTAATCATTAATAAATATACTTTATATATTTATCTCTATGCTTAACAAAACAATGTAATTATTAATGTAAAATGAAATAAAAAACTTTTAGGGCGAATAAAATTTAAAATTATCCTGATTTTAGGCAATTAATGAAATGTAATATTATTAATATTTTAGGCGATTAATGAAACTTAATATTATTAATATTTTAGGCGATTATTGAAATTTAATATCGTTAATATTTCAGGCCCGCCAGGTTCAAAAGTGTATGTCTACACATCAGGAGTGTGTAGCATATGAGGTATGGTATCTCTAGAATTCTATGGCAATGAATGAATGAAAAATGCAGACAAGTAAACCTAGACAATAACAAAAATTGCATGTTTTTGAGTAAAGTAACTGACTACTTTGTTTTATTTCAAAATTATTTATTATTTTAAGGGGTGTGTAAAAGAATTTTTCAGAGGGTGGGGTGGAAAACCCCCTGATGGGGACTGTATCCCCCCCCCCCTCCTGTATACACATTGAACATTAAAAAAATATATTTTATAAATTGTTTACTTTTTAGGTTTTGCGGCGCGAGGCAAAGAATAGCCTGGACCCCTCTGATCCCGATTACAATTTATACACAAAAAATATGGTAATAATTTTTAAAAATTAATGAAATAATAACATGTCAAAATGGTAGTTAGTTTTTATCAACCAAGTTTAAATGACCCAAAATTTAAAAGCTTTGGCTCGGGTCGTAATTCCTTAAACCCAGCTTTAAGACCCAATCTTGGCTCGTGAGTTGAGTTCAGTTCTCATAAAAACCGGAATGCGCCAATTCCTACCATGAAAATCCGCCAAATAGAAAATTAAACCGATTTTTTTTAACTTAACTCTGTGTAAAATAAGATGACGCTTGAATCCGAAAGCACAAGCCGTAAATAAGGCCCAACGACAGATTAGACCTATTTTCTTGATTTTTTAAATTGCCGGCTAAACGAAAGCATCTTTTGTAGAAAAACCACAGTTGAAAACAATAAGTTTTCAAAACTATAAACATGGATATCTATTTCTCTCAAATCTAAAACAATTTTTTATTGATTAAAACCAAAAAGTTCAGCCATCAGAAGGTTGATTTTCGCTTATGAAAAAAATCTAATATTTAATATAGTAAGCTATACGTAAAATATGTGATCATTAGATTAATTTAAATAACAGATAGTACACTAAATGTCGTCTTTTGATGTTTATAAGCTTATTTCGTTAACAATAACCCTAAGGCATAAGCCCAAAGGAGTTACGCTTAGTCGGCGTAGAACAGGCTCTCTCGCCGTCTTGTAATCCAATAGAGAGATAGCATGTTCTTCATAAATTCGCAAATTCTAATCAGGTTTTTTTCAGAACTCTGAGAATAAATCTGCCTTCAAAACCCATGTCGAAAACAAGAAAGCTCGACTTCTTGTAAACCCGGAGTTTGTCGAAAACTTGGACCATAGCGACGGAAGCACTCAGTACGACGAAATTATCGAAGATTAGTTAATTGAGAGATTTTCTTCCAACTGAAGGATGCTTCTCTCTTCATAAATTAACTAGACAAAAAGATTTAATGAAATTTATTTTAATTTTGGAAATGTTTGCTTTTAATAGAAGTTTAAGGGGGGGGGGCGTTTCTAATAAAAATTTGTTTTTATCATGGTTTCTAATTGATGTTTTGTTTAGATTTTTTTGATTTTATAGGTTTCCTTTAGGAATAAATCAAATTTTTACGAGACTGAATCCACATTTGCTGCAGGCGGCTTTGACATTTAGAATCTCTTAAAAGTGTAAAGGGGACATTGTCAAAAATATTAACTAATTTTTTTTAATCCTTTTAAAATCCTTTTATGACTTGAAGTTTGAAAACAAAAATGTTGGAGTTAATTTAATGTTCTTTAACCAATTGGTATAAAAAACAATAAAAGAAATATTTTTGACCAAATGTCCTATTTAAACAACTTCTTCTAAATAAAAACATGTATTGTAGATGCTTCCTTAATTTAAAATTATTTAGACGGCAATTTAAGCGAAGATTGTCAGTAGGGATTCGAGGGTTCAAGGTTTTTTTTAGCTGTAGATTTCTTTCAATTAATGTGATTTTTAAATTGTTACCAAATGTTCTTGTGCAATAATGTTAGAGGAGAGTTAGTTTAAAGATACGAAATAATTTTAATCTTTTGAAAATGAAATCTTTAAAAGATGTTCTTCCAATAACCGTACTTAGCTAACTCTCCGATTTCTTCACTAATTTCAGTGCAATATTTAGTATTCTCTAGTTATATTTAATCTATGTTACTTGGCGATAAAATACAGTATTAGAAAATGTTTATTTTGGTTTGTTCAGAGTTTTTAAGATTATAGTTTGCAATGCTTTCCTTTCTATGAGTGAAATTAATACTAATGTGTGAAACACATTTAATAATAGGTGTCCAATATTCATTCTTCTGAACTATTATTTGAAAGCTTCGGTCAAATGTAGAATTCTTAAATGTCTTATCCTTAAGTCTAGCATCATTTTTAAGTCCAAGCTCAAAATCAATATCTAAGATATTATCCTTATATCTAAGATATTATTCTTAAGGTTAAGGTATCATTCTTCAGTCTGATATATCAAATTCTGAAGTCTAAAATATCATTATTAAATCTAAGATATAATTCACAAGTCTAAAGTCTTCTCATGAAGGCTGAAATCTCATCATTAAGTCTGAAGACTCATACTTAAGTCTAAAGTCTCATCCTTAAGTCTGAAGTTTCATCCTGAAGCTTGAAGTCTAATCCTTAGGAAAGAAGTCTTATCCTTAAGTTTGATGTCTCATTCTTAAGTTTGAAGTCTCATCTTTAAGTATGAAGTCTCTCATTCTTAAGTTTGAAGTCTCATCTTTAAGTATGAAGTCTCTCATTCTTAAGTTTGAAGCCTCATCTTTAAGTATGAAGTCTCTCATTCTTAAGTCTAAACTCTCATCTTTAAGTCTGAAGTCTCTTCCTTGAGTCCGGAGTCTCATCCCAAAGTCTGAACTCTCATTCCTAAGAATGAAGTCTTATTTTTAAGTACGAAGTCTCATCCTTAAGTATGAAGTCTCATCCTTAAGTCTGGAGTCTCATCCTTCAGTATAAAGTCTCAGCCTTGAGTCCGAAGTCTCATCCTTAAGTTTGAACTCTCATTTTTAAGTATGAAATCTCATCCTTAAGTCTAAAGTCCCATTCATAAGTTTATAAGGTTATACAGAAGTTTGAAGTCGCATCCTTAATTCTAAACTCTTATTTTTAAGTCTGGTATCTCATCCTTAAGACCAAAGTTGAATCCTTAAAGGAATTATTTAGATAAAATGAGAGAGGGTAAAGGCTAAAGCCTAAAAATTTTAGGAATTGATCGCGACCAATTTAAGTTTTATCTGATGTCTGAAATCTCATCCTAAAGTCTAAAATGTCATCATTAAGTCTTAAGTCTTATTATTAAATGTTAAAGGAGCTGTGGCATAAAATACCAAATTCAAAATGGTAC